TTTCTCACTTTCTATCTCTCTGTCTCTGTCTTTCTGGAGACCGTACATGCTCTATGGCAAAAACCTCTTTAAAAAAATTATAAGCATGCTTATAGGAAGTTAGCAGTAGCTTTAGCAGAAAAACACTCAGGAAAGCTTCTCCAGAGTCCTCCTCTACCATGAAAATGCTCCTGCTTATTCCTCTCATCCAACAAGAGCAATTTTGTAAAAATTTTGATGGGATACAAATGATTAGACATATTCCTCACAGTCCTGATTTGGCTCCTCCTGACTTCTTTTTGTTCCCCAAATTTATAAAACATCTCCATTTGGATTTTGAATAAGCATCTAAAAACTCACATGTCTATCTAGAGCAAAAATCTTGACTATTTCCCATTCCTCATTTTTCCCTTTTTCATGTCTGCAAACGCCACCATCATCCCTTCAGAAGCCTAAGCCAAATACCTGAGGTCAGTTTTGGGCCTGCTCTCACCACACCTTACTGCTTGCCCTATGGACACACAATACCATAGCCACTGTTTCAGATTTTCCACCACTCACCCCTTCTATCCCTGAGCTATTCCTTCTCAGCTTTTACCTGGTTCCTCCCAGCTCTCCAAATTTATATTAGGGCTAACTACCTCACCTTTCAGGTCTTAGCTTTGCTCAGCCGTCCTAACCATTGGGCTGGGTTAGGACCTGCCACGCACTCGCATAGCATAGCTCCTGTTTTTCTAACACAACCGCAGCCATCCTTCTACAATTTGCCAGTTACTCAGAGGCAGACAAATCCTTTCCAATAGCTTCTCTCTGATGTGGAGGGTCCCCTCATAACCAAGTCTTTGCAAAGCCTGTACTTTTTCCTCATCTTTTTTTGAACAGCATCCACCTGAGAGTAACACATTGACTTGAAATACTTTCAGTTAGTATTGGTTTTGGATACTTACAGAAGTCCTTCATCTAAAATACATGGCCTTTCACAAAGCAAAAGACACAATCCAGATTTAGTACTTCTTCCTAAAGGGGAATGGCCTCAAGAGTAAGATAGTAAGTGACTACCTGAAAAGAGCACAAATGTACAGCTGCAGCCATTTTAAAAACCCAACTGTCCTATTACCAATGGCTGTTCGTGGCTTGTAATGCTTGTAATAGCATTTCTGGTGAAGGCATCCTACCCAGATTCCAAAAGTGTTACATCTCCCAGCCTAGATAGAAGTGAAGATGACTACGAAAAGCTGCCAGTGACTTAAAAATTAGCTCCAAAATGTATAAGGAAATGCAAGAGCGAGGAATAACCAAGACATTAATGACGATCACTACCTCAAGTTCTGATCCAATGATAGACAAAGAGACCAATGGAACAAAATATTGAGGCAGAAAGAGATCTACAAGTACATTACTTGATAAAGGTATTGTTCCAAGTCAATGAGGAAGGATTATCTTTTCAATAAATGGAGCTCGGACAACTGAATGCCACATGGAAAAAAAATTAATCTTATCCCTAACTCACATCATACACAAAGAATCAATTCCAGATGGATCAGAGACTTTAATGTGAAAGATAAAAACAACTATGTTTTTACATTTATGCTCTTGGGAAGGGCAAAGATTGCTCTAAAAGGGTATAAAAAACATTTCTCTAAAGAGAAAAATGATAAATTGTATTACATTTAGAAATTTTGGTTATCAAAAAACACCACTAAGAGAATAAACAGCTAACTACAGAAGGGCTTACCTCCATATATAAACTGAACACAAATACATAAATCCCAAATATAGAGTATTTACACATATATAAATTCAACCAAGAATCATTTTCAGAATATATTTTTAAATTTTCTATAAATTAATAAGGAAGGGCAGACGATTTGATAGAAAAATAAGCAAAAATATCAGATGGCATTTCACAAAAAGAGGGTAGTTAAGGTGGTCAAAAATACATGAATAGGGGCCAACAGGCAGTGTGGTGGTGAAGGCACTGGACTCCCACGTGGATGGCCACCATTTGAGTCTCAGACCTGGTCGCTTGCTTTCTAACTTTCCCACTCTCTCTGTCTTTCTCTGGTGAGCACATATGCCCTATAGCAAATTAAAATGATAACAATTAATGTAATTAAGTAAATTATTCTTTTTTTTTTTTTGGAGAGATTTTCACTGTAGGGCGTGTGCGCTCGCCAGACAGACAGAGAGAGACATAGAGACAGAAAGCGAGAAATCACCCCCCAGGGGGGATGGTCACGCCGCAATCCCTTCTCCTCCATTCTCCTCTCGGGATCTTGGGCACACACGCACACGTGCCCGGCGTGAGTTTTAAGCCACCGGGTCCGGGACACGAACCGCGGTCAGCTACGTGGGAGTCCAGCGACATAGTCATTACGCTAACTGCTGGTTCCTGTAAATTATTCTTTTTAAGAAATACATGAAAAGGTACTCAATTCATTAGTCATCAGGGGCTTGCAATGTAGAACCAAAACCCAATGCCCTGTATAGGTTTTGAATAGCTAAAATTAAAAAAAGAGAATACAAAGTGTTGAGAGGATATGGAACACCCAGAATTCTCAAACCCTTCTGGTCAGCACATACACAGTAAAACTGCTTTGGGCAACTGGTATTTTCTACAGCTGGATATATACAAACCCTATGGCCCAGCCTATCGCGGGACAAATGTCTGCAGATGTCCACCAAAAGACCTGTGCAAGCTTGTCATCTAGCATCATTTGTAATTACTAAGAATCAAAACCAACCCAGATGTCAGCAACAGTAGATGGATAAATAGTGACATATTTATGCAATGGAAGAGAACATAGCAATGAGAATAAACAATATTGATAAGCACAAGTATAAAACTCATAGACCTGGGACCAGCAGATGGTGTAATGGTTACACTGCTGTACTCCCATGTAGTCAAATGTGGTTCAACTCCTGGACTCAGTGGCTTAAAAAAACTCACGTCGATGCATGTACCTGCATGTTCAAAATCCCAAGAGGAGAATGGAGGAGAAGGGATTGTGGTGTGGTATTTTCCCTGGGGGTTGATTTGTTGCTTTTTGTCTCTCTGCCTCTCTGGCAAGCACGCACACACACCCTATAGCAAAAATATCTCTCTCAAAAAAAAAAAAAAAGAAAAGAAAAGAAAAAACTTCACTGACCTAATGTTAAATAAACCAGACACTGGGCCAGCAGGTAGCATGCTGGTTAAGGCACTGGACTCCCAAATGACTGACTGCGGTTTGAGTCCTGGACATAGCAGCTTGCTTTCTTACTTTCCTTCTCTTTCTCTCTGTCTCTGTCTTGTGAGTGTACATGCCATATAGCAAATTAAAATTTTTTTAAAATTAAATAATTATTTTAAAAAAGAAACCAGATACTAAGAAGTAAACTCTGCATAGTTTTTGTTTGTTTTTTTTTGCCAGAAGGCATATATGCTTGTCAGAGAAAGAACAAGAGACAGAGGAAAAGAGACCTGAAGAGAGAGAAAACACCCACTAATGGGGGCATGGTTATGTTGCAATTCTTTTTCTTCCATGTCTCCATCCCATCAGGAGGTATGTATGCACACATATCCGGCATGTTTTTCAATTGTGGTTACCTATATGAGACCCAGGTCCCTTAACCACTCTGCTACAGGGCCAGCCCTGAATCATTCGTTTTTAAGTTTAAAAACAGGCATAACTGATGTGTCAGCAGTTAGGTGAATGGTCCTTTTTGTGCAGTAATGACTGAAGGGGCCCAGAGGGACTTATGGAATGCTGGCAATTTTCTGTTTCTTGATATAGATCCTGGTAATACACCAGGGTGTTTTCATTTTGTGAAAATTCCTCAAACTCTTCATGGATGGTATATGAATTTTTTGGTGTATAAATTACTCGATTAAAAAGTTTCAGTACTTGGAAAACAGCTGCAATAAAAAAATGCATCTGAAGTGTTTAAATAAAACAGTACCAAGAAATGAGATAAGACAGGCCTTTCAAAATTAATAGCATTTTGAGGACACGCCCCGGGCAGCCCGAGGCCGCGCCCGCTTCCGGCGGCGGGCGAGCCGCAATCTCTGTTTCAGCCGCGGGGGGGGCGCCCAGGCGCGCTGTTCCGGGGGGGGGGGGAGCCGCAATCTCTGTTTCAGCCGCGGGCGGAGCGCCAAGTGGCCGGGCCTGGGCTCCCGGCGTGAGCTTCCAGGCGCCCTGCTCCGCACCGGGCGCCCGACCTCACGCCGACTGTCCGCCCTCCGGCGCGCCGAGTCCAGGAGGGGCGGCTCCGCGCACAGAACTGGGCGGGGCCAATGCGCGCGCCCGGCCGGCCCCGCCCAGCCCCCGCCCAGCCCGTTAGCCGGCCACGCCCGGCTGTTAGCCCGCCGCCGCCGCTGCCGCCCGGACGCCTGCTGGGGCCGGCGCTGGGACCACCGCCGCACCCTGCTGCCGCCTGCGCCCATGGCCGCCTCCGAGGTGGCGCAGCACCCGACCTTTCAAACTCACATGGCGATGAGAACAACTTGTATGCCCTCACAACTATCTGAGGATGAGCAGAGAAAAAGAGAAAATATTCGGTCTTTGACTATGTCTGGCCACGTTGGTCTCGAGAGTTTGCCTGTTCAGCTGGTCAACAGATCCATTCAGCAGGGCTTCTGTTTCAACATTCTCTGCGTGGGGGAGACTGGAATTGGAAAATCAACACTGATTGACACGTTGTTTAACACTAATTTTGAAGACCATGAATCCTCACATTTTTGCCCACATGTTAAACTTAGAGCTCAGACATACGAACTCCAGGAAAATAACGTTCGATTGAAACTGACTATTGTGAATACAGTGGGATTTGGTGACCAGATAAATAAAGAAGAAAGGTATGTGTCTTCTAGGGATAAAACAAGTTTTTCTTATTTCAAGATAATTGCCTTTTAGTCCCATGAGCTATGATTTGATTTTTCTAATACAGAAAATGCTTACTTTTCCTTGCTTAAAAATTAAAGCTTTGTTCTTATTAACAAATTGACCTTTTTTTAATCCGGTTGCTTAATTTCTTCCTCACCATGAAGAACTTGGATAGCAAAGTGAACATTATACCAGTGATTGCTAAAGCAGATGCGATTTCTAAAACAGAATTGCAGAAGTTTAAGATCAAGCTTATGAGTGAGCTGGTCAGCAACGGCGTCCAGATATACCAGTTCCCCACAGATGATGACACCATTGCCAAAGTCAACGCTGCGATGAACGGACATTTGCCGTTTGCTGTGGTCGGAAGTTTGGATGAGGTTAAAGTCGGAAATAAGATGGTCAAAGCTCGCCAGTACCCTTGGGGTGTCGTGCAAGTGGAGAATGAGAACCACTGCGACTTCGTGAAGCTGCGGGAGATGCTCATCTGCACCAACATGGAGGACCTGCGGGAGCAGACCCACGCCAGGCACTACGAGCTGTACCGGCGCTGCAAACTGGAGGAGATGGGCTTCGCAGACGTGGGCCCCGAGAACAAGCCGGTCAGTCTTCAGGAGACTTATGAAGCCAAAAGACATGAATTTTATGGTGAACGGCAAAGGAAGGAAGAGGAAATGAAGCAGATGTTTGTCCAGAGAGTAAAGGAAAAAGAAGCCATTTTGAAAGAAGCTGAAAGAGAGCTGCAGGCCAAATTCGAGCACCTTAAAAGAGTTCATCAGGAAGAGAGAATGAAGCTTGAAGAGAAGAGAAAATGTTTGGAAGAAGAAATCATCGCTTTCTCTAAAAAGAAAGCTACCTCTGAGATATTCCAGAACCAGCCCTATATGGCATCGGGTAGCAACCTTAAAAAGGACTGCAAGAACTCTAATTTTATGTAAACCAGAAGTTACAAGGCACAGAAGATCATCACAAGCAGAAGTTATTAAAAAGTTAGAAATGTGCTTTGATTTTCTTGCTGTTTTTATTTGCTTTATTATTCTGTGCCTGGCAAATGGCCAGTTACTGACATTCATGGAAGAACACTTTGGAGCGTAGTAAGGGCTATACAGAATCCTTATGTAAATGATACTGCTGCGTAATCACTGTTAGGGAATTTTCAGTGGCTGTTTTTCAGTGAGCGTGAATATTTTCTGCTGCCAAATTACTGTGACTTTGCTAAGTACTGAGCCAAAGAGCAAAGTCCCCGTGTCATTGAGATCAGAACGCATTCACGTTACGCTTCTGATTGCATTTATAGTCTAGGGTGAGCCTTTTTAAATATAAACTTAAGGAAGAATCTATGTTTGGAATGTATTGTGAGCTAAAACTCTAACCTCCCAGTAGTTTTATAGAGCTTTCTAATGGTTGCTATGTTACCCAGTTGGTAATGCTCTGAGAGATTCTTGGGCCCTATGACATGAAGACCGTGCTTTACCGTGCCTTACTGGGGTTGATACATTGCTGTGACCAAACAACTGTTTTAAAGGTAAAGACGTCCAGGTATAGAAACCCTTTGCTCTTTGACCTCAAGTGTGTCACACTAATTTCATTAGAATGTATTGCTTATCTGTTGGCTTAAACTCTGTCTTCCAGGGGGAAAATAGCCTTGAATCATTTCATTAAAATATTTCAACATCCAAAGAAAGCAACTGTATATCTGAATATTGAACACAAACATTCAGATAATTCAGGGGATTTTTGCATTTAGTGCCTTAGTACCCTCAGAATGTTTGATAGTTTCTAACTTCTCTTAAGGCATAGGCATATAAAATTCACTCATTTTTTGTACTTGACTGTTCTAAAAAAAACTGACATTTATTCTTGACAAATAAAAGACATCTACATATTAAAAAATAATAGCATTTAATATAAAATGTAATTTTGTATAATGGAAAAAATTAAGTATTCAAATTATACATTTGTTATCTACATTCTTTTCAAGATTTGTTATCTACATCTTACATATTTAAATTGGTCAAGATGCAGCTTGGAGGACTTGTATTGGAACAAACTGGGGACTGTCATATGCTGAGGGTTGTCCTGGGTCAGCACAGATGGCCTGTGTGAGCCCAGGCTAACTAAGCACTTTTTCTTTTGCTTCTATCCCGGCACCTAGGAGCACATGCAGAGCAGAGCTAGCAGGAAGGGCCACAGGTGCTCTAGGGCCTGGGCAGAGGCCTAGTCTCTACTCCTTCTGCTTCCCAGCCATGAACATAACACATAGGGCCAGGCCAAGTTTACTCTGGGATAGCACTTTACTTCCCAAATTCCAGGCACTTTTCCACAGCACATCTTAAAGTGAATCACCACTGACATCAGTAAAGTTCGATTCAAGTGAATCAATTCAAAAGGCTTCCTTTTTACAGCTAAAAAAACAGTAATTTGTCAGGATTCTTCAGATTTGGCTACTCTCAACACTTTAAAA